AAAACCGCTCCAACAAAAATTCAAAAAATAGTAACACGGAACTAAAACTGCCAAGAAAAGGTATTAATTAAAATAAAAAAACAAGAAAAAGCTCTAAAGGCAACCAACCTACCTCGATACGAATTCCAATCAGGTAACTGGGAAGTGGGGATTGAGTATCAGATTCAAGAACACAGAGAGTAACAGTGAGAGAGGAGGAAGGGTCGGAATCCAGATCTGGGTTGATCTGAGAGGTCCGTGAAATCAACAACGAATTCTCCCAATCAAGAAGAAGATAGAATCAATCAATTTTGTTAAAAAGAAATGAAAGGAAGTTGGATGGGATTAGGAAAGAAGGCGAAGGGGGGGGGTGAATTTAATTGGAGATAGGGTTAGGGTTTTTGTTTTTTTCCTTGGTTAAAAAGGGAAAATAGGGAGATTGTGATGGTGGTGGTAGTAGGGGGTAAATTTCTTTTTTGCAGCGGGAACGTGGAGAGCGGCAAAGTAGCAGAGAGGGAGAAGAGGCTTGGTTCCCGGTCTAGATTTTTACTGTTTTAGAAAATCTTGAACAGAAGAAGGAGGTAGAGAGAGAGAGAGAGAGGGAGCTGGAGGACAGAGACGGAAGAAAAGAAAGGAGGAACTAACTCGTATTAAAATAAAATAAAAATGAAAATAGAATGACGGAGATATTGGAAGACAGAGAAGGGACGAGAAATTGAGTGGATAAAACAGGGTGGGGCCCACGCTGCGGGGTTGCTTCGCCGAGTTGTAAAAGGTTGTTTCCTCTTTGCTTTTGCGTTGGTGGGCGGAAGCGATTTGAACACGTGGAGAGCCGTGATGGAACAAAAGAGAGGGGACTAGGGGAAGTAGTTAAGCGCTTGTTTGCTTGATGGATTTGATAATGGATTTAAATTTATTATCCAATTTTTTTATTGGATTTATTATCGATTTTGATCCAAATTCATAGTTTGTTAGGAGAAATAAATGTGTGGATCCCACAAACTTTAAGTTACTAAATTCGTGGACCTCACGAACTTAAAAGTTTTACGTATTTAGGTGGGATTTGATTATGGACTTTGAAGTCCATCATTTTTTACCAACCTACTCTTCATATTTGCTTTCCTTTCTTATATTATTGAGGACAGTAAAGGTAAATTACACTTCATACATACAAATTTAATTAACAGAATCCATCATGAAATCCATCAAACAAACAATGGTGTTTATTAAATTCATAATGAACCTAAAACCCTCATATATTCATGGTTTTTCAAAACCCAAGTTATACCAAAACCTTCAATTTTCAAATCCACGACGCAAGTTTGGTCACTGGAATTGCAAGTTTATCAAATTGCAAGTTTGGTCACTGAAATTACTTAAAAATTGCAAGTTTGGTCACTGGAATTACTTAAAATTTTCACTAGTCGTTGTTGCTCTCTTCACTAGACGATGATGAAGTTGGAGATCCGGAGCTCTCGTACTCTGGCCTTGGAGCAGCAACATCAATAACAGAGACTGGACGAGGAGGAAGACGAGGATGGAGATTCGAAGAAGCAGCTGTGGAAGGAGGTTTCGGCAATGGCGGCAACGGTTGCAACTCAAGACTGGGTCTGTACCCATCAGATCTCTTGATAGAGTCAGCTTATGGTAGGGAGATGAACGGTGAGAACGGTCAAGATCGCATTCACACCGAACCCGTCGTAGATTGGTTTGAAGTAGTAAAAGAGCGTCACCATTGTTAGAGTCAGCCCAACTTTGTGGGAGTAAATCTCCCTCCTGGGATCTTCCTTCCCGAATTCTTTCACCCGCGCTGCAAGCGCGAAAGTTCCACTGGTGAAAGAATCAATTGTCCCACTTTCAATTGGTTCTCTCTCGAATGCTCAAAGGACCAAGACGGTGATGGCGCGAGGCTTGGCTGGCCGGGAGAGGTCGTCGACCGGAGGGGAGAGGAACGGCGACGAGCGGTTGAGAATAATAATTAAAAAGAATTAGGAATTTTTAATTTTTATAATAATTAGGTGAAAAATAAAAAATAATTAAATTAAATTATTTTATTAATTTTTTAATTGTCACGTCACTCATTTAACGTCAACTATAAGAGTTGACCGCCACATCAGTAAAAGTTAACGGAGACTAACGGCCAGTGCCCAAACTTGAACTGTTAACCTAATTTAAGTGACTACGAATGGAATAAATTAATTTTAGTGACAAACGTGAAATTTTTAAGTAATTCCAATGACCAAACTTGCAATTTAGCATATTTTGTGTTATCAGTTTTTTATGCCTAGGTTGTTCAGAGCTGCCCATATTGTGGCTTAAAAGGCTCTTGAATCGATAGTTCGCTTAGTAGTGACTATCGTATTTATGATTTTCATGTATATGTACCTCTGCCAACTTATATCTATGACAAAAAAAAAGTAAGGCACAAAGAGAAGAAGGTGGACGTGGGCGTGGGTTTGGTCATTTCAATCACCCGACTCATATATTATGGTTTTAAAAATGGTTAATATTTTTGTCTGATCTCATCTGTACACATATTCAACATTCTAGTCAATTCTTTCGATCTATAACATCGATTTGTGGCCTCAATTATACATATATCATTTTAACCACTAGATATTGGGATAAAAATAAAATAAATAATATTATTATTAAACTCACAAGATACATTGTTTTCCTCTATAGTGGTTTTCACTTTTTAGGGATATGATAACACCTAAAATAAGCGTTATTTAGCCCTTTTTCTTAAGGCATTTGCATCAATGTAGTCAAAAGCGAGTTTCTACGTATAAAAGTTTAGAGGATCTAGAAGCGTAAAATCCTAAAATTTTAACTTTTAAAGCGGAGTTTTTAACTACATAAGTTATAAAAACTGAGATTTTGTGTAGAAGCGTTTTAGTGACCTATAAACGTAAAATCGTAAGTTTTTAAGTTTTAAAGCGCGATTTTAACTACATTGATTTGCATGATAAATCACTGTGTCTAGGCCACATATCAAGTTATTTATGCCCATATTCGTTCCTATTCGCAAAACATGCATTTTGGCATAGGTATTCATGGTATGAAGGTTTTCATAGGGGAACCTACCCCCACTTTGGCATATTTTATACTTTCCCAAGTGTTTGTGATGAAATTCCAGGTCTTATATGCATTTGGGATTGATCGGGAATCAATTGGAGTTCATCCGAGCACGATTGGAAAGCATAAGAGCAAGAAGGGGAGAAGAGGCACTAGTCACGACCATGACCACCAGACCGTGACCAAGTTCGCAAGCTGAAGATCGCGGCCGTGAAAAGTAGTTGCAAACTTCAGCAGGCGACAAAGAAGAAGACATAAAGTTTCCCTAGTCGAATCGCGGACATGGTGCGTTTTGACCGCGAAAAAAATAGCGCCCGTGACACAAAGATCACGATCGCGATCTTGTGAAGGAGGCCGCGATCTCGAAGCCTAAGGACGGAGTAAAAAAACGTATCGTTTCGGGCGATTCAGAGACATTCCAGCTGTTCACAGCCAGGTCACTACGTGGAGGCTTTGACCACCATCGGCTTTCTATGAATACCCCTCTTGCTGCACTTTTCAAAGAAGAGCCGCCCTAGAGTGAGAAAGTTAGGGTTTTGGGTTGTTTTTAGAGAGGAAAACACCTTGGGAGAGATTAATAGAAGATCCAATCCACCTAATGAGCAAGAAGAAGGTGCAAGAAAGAAGAAGAATATTGATTCCATCACTCCCTCTCTTGTAGTTTGTGTTTTTTTCCTCTCTCTCTCCATGACTTGAATCTATACGATTTATCTTATCAATTTGTGATAGCTTCGTCCATCTCCCTAATAAGAAAACTAAAAATCATTAATATCCCCACATAAGAGTTTCTGTGTGGATACTGATTCATCTTCCTTCATTCTCTACATTTACAAATTGGTGTTTATGTAGGGGGACTCGAGTTATCCTTTATTCCTCATCATTGCCCTTACCTAAGTTTGATTGTGGTGGTACCTTTATCTTTTCCATTGGCACCTCTTGTATAGAGATTCTTTGGCTATTGACCAAAGAATCCGTTGTCCATTATGTCAAAGATATCGAGTTAGAAATTCATGTTCAGAACTAACAAGGCTTGATGAAGTTATTGGTGTTAATATTTATCTCCTTTAGTGAAGAAATGAGATGATGATTTTTGGAGCTCGATGTATAACTTATTATTGGTATATTCACAATCTTCATATCCTCAAACTTCCCAAACTCAATGGAAATTTGATAGATATTTTATCGAGACATCAATCTCCATCACACTCAATGCATTCACATTCCTAGTGATTCCTCTAAACAACTGATTATAGGGATGTTTCATATTCCGGAGCAAGGCTATGCAATATAGAATTGCACCTTTCAAATTGTTCTTGACCACACTTTGTCCTTAAAATTTTGGAGATAGGTGAACCATTCAGGTGTGTTTTAGATTATATTACCTTTCGGATTCATAAAATATTGGGCTTGTTTAGTTTGCCAAACTCGGGAGAAATAAAAAGGGACAAACTCTTTACACGTCATCCCTAATTTATTGATCTTCCCTATTTAAATCTCCAATAGAGGAATTATTGTGGAATTGGTTTTGATAGAGGTGGAGGTTACGAAGAATGATTAGGTTTTCAATTGAGGATGGGACGTCATTGAGAAAATAGTTGGTGCCAATGTCGATATAGCGGACGAAACGAGAGAGGTATGAGATGTTGGCAGGAAGGGGTCCGACCAAATATTTTTTGTGACAAATCTAGGTTTTGTACGTCGAACCAGTTCCAAAGGATAGCAAAAAGCCATAACCCATAGTGATCCATGAGAGATCAAAGGAAGACACAATTGTTAAGGTAGAGAAAATTACACTTTCATACTCACTAATATATTTTAGTATATAATAGATAATGATACGACCCATATTACATTTAATGATTTGAATACAATAAATATTAGGCGTCTCAAAAGCTAAAATTTAAATTGCAAATGATGCAACCCACTACTTTGTAAGAGATCCATGTCGACCTAGCATTGGACGCTTCAGGTCGACCTCACAGTACAGATGTAATCCCCAACACGGAATTATTCCCCGCGTCTAAGAGCCGCCTAACTTGCTATAAGAAAGGAATTTTATTCGGCCATTTCTGTACGCAGACCACATTATCGGAGAAGACGCTGTTCATTGCTTCTGCTCTCTCTATATTCTCTCATCTTTCGATATCTCAAGTTACAGCTTTCCTTCCCCGAGTCGAATCTAACGCGATGGTGAGTTGATTCTTTTTCTCGTCTTCATGTTTCCCTTCTATTATTTCAGCTCTGATAGCCTAGGGTTTCCATTTTTTTTTTTTTTTTGTCTTCGATTTCTGCTGGATTATGAATCTCCATGTGAGGGAGTGCTCCCGTTCGATCTGTGCTCGATCTCGCCGTCCTGAACCTGAATTTCGCTCAGAGTTCGTCATTTATGCCGCTGCGGGCTATTTCTCCCGTGATCTAATCTTACCTAGTGCGTAACTGTAGAGATCTGAGTTGCTCTTCTCCTTCGTCGCATTTTCTTGCGTAGATCTATCGGAAGTTGTGCTGAATTTTGAATCGAGCTCGGATTTTAGCTGTATTCCTTCTTTCGATTGTGACGATTGCTCTTGTGTTTAGCTAAGAGGATCAAGTGTTCATTTGTGTGCAATTTAGGCGGTTTGTTTTGTGTTCTGTATCTGTTGTCGAGGTGGATCGATGGTGATGTTTGGCTTTAGTTCTGCAATTACTCCATGGCAGCTCCTCGTTCATTGATTTGCTTGTATTGCAGCTTTTCTATGGTTTACTTGGTAGTGTTTCAATTAGTCATGATCCAAGGTTGAGATTCGAGGGCAACTATGAGATTTATTGAGTTATCAATTTAGGCTTTTCAATATTGGATTTGTTTTCCTCTTGGGATTGGATTTGGCAGTTAATGAATGAATCTGATCGATAGCTCCAAAATTAACTTGCGTCGACTTAGTAGGCTCGTCTTTGAATTATGATTCTGGCGTCACAGGGGAGCTAGAGTTTGACTTAGTATTGACTACTAAGGACTGTGTGTTCATGTTACCTTTTAGGCAAATGCAGCATCCGGGATGGCAGTCCACGATGACTGCAAGTTGAAATTCTTGGAGCTGAAGGCAAAAAGAACCTACCGCTCCATAATTTTCAAGATCGAGGAGAAGCAAAAGCAAGTTGTTGTGGAGAAGCTTGGCGATCCAAGTCAAAGCTATGAGGATTTTGCTGCTAGCATCCCTGCTGATGAGTGCCGCTATGCTGTTTATGATTTTGACTTTGTCACAGTGGAGAACTGCCAGAAGAGCAGGATATTTTTCATTGCATGGTAATTTTTAGTGTCTATGTTCTTCTTAAGTTCACACATTTGCATCATCTGTCCTTTATCCTGTCCAATTTGTATTTTGTCGTGTGCTGATTACACATCTGTTATGGTGGTGCCCTTCAAGGTCTCCTGACACAGCGAGGGTGAGAAGCAAGATGATTTACGCGAGCTCAAAAGACAGGTTCAAGAGAGAGCTCGATGGAATTCAGGTAGAGTTGCAAGCAACTGATCCTACAGAGATGGGGCTCGACGTGTTCCAGAGCCGTGCGAACTGAATGGGGACAGACATATAAGGGGCCATCTGTCAATGGCTTGTGGCCTTTCAGGATTTGCATTTACTTGTGGTGTTATGTTTATAGTTTGGTGTTGAATGGAGAGAATTGTGATACTGGTTTTCTGAGTTCAACCTGCTGTTCTGAACATCCTTTTGTTCGTTTGAAGCATGGATACCTGGCTTGTGATCCATAGAACCTTGTGTGTCTGACTGCGTTTCTCGTAGTTGTATGTCTACGAGCTAATTTGTAACTGTGTGTTTGTGGAGGGGTTTTAGGCAAGGCCTTGAGTTGAGTTGAAGGTGGAGAAGTGCTTGACCATTGTCATTCTACTTTAGGATTGCTAAGAAAGGTGCCTCATATCCTGCAGTTACGAAGTTTGTTCTTGCTATGTACTTCTATTTTTTTTTTTTGACCATTGTCATTCTACTATAAGGATCTAAACTCCCTTTATCTCCTTCTATAACGTTTACATATGGAAAAAACCCCAATATTTGAGTATTTCCCAAGCCTAACTTAATTTGGGTAATTTTACTTATGAGGCATATTCATATTCAATTTTTTAGTTGGTTGTAAATTGGATCCATATTATACAAAGTCAAAAATAATATGGGTACTCGATTATAAAATAAATCGAAAGTTGGAAACACTTACATTAAAGGTGTATAATTGGGTTGTACGTAGTTATTGAAATGGCTGGTAATTTTTTTTTTTGTGTATGCAATCATCTGGTCCCAGTTAAACTCGTCATTTGATTCTAACCCAAATGAATTGATCCAAATACGATAATTCAAATACAACCCAAACCCAATATCATTAAAAGTGCAAATGGTTCCATTTGGGTCAGACCAACCATACGAGTCATGATAATTGGACCAAATAACCCAAGAAATGTACCCATTGTCATCTCTAATCACGCCTCTCCCTCCCTTTTTGTTGGAAAAACGGGACGCTAAAAGGGCACACTTGCCTGACACTTATATTAAAACGAGATTTGGCAATGCCCATACTGTCATACACAGTCCAGTGGATCCGAAAGAGTAATATCACGGAGGCCTAATTCTAAAGAATGCCTTTTATTTGCTAAGTAGTTTGCAACCCGATTACACTCTCTACAGGTGTGGATGAGTCTAACTCCCAATTGAGATTCAAGAGATGGTTGAATTGACAAGCCAGAATGAGGTATCTGTGATTCGAGGATGATCATTAGCTGCATAGGTTGATAAAGCAGCCTTATTGAAGGTGGTGAATTGACTACTTTGGTCGAGAAGTCAATTCACCGCTCTATACTGGATTTGATCCAGTAGAGGTGGTTTTGCACGTTAGGGCCTCAGTTCATTTGCTCCGGTGGAGGTTGGTCGCCCGCTGGGTATTCAGACTGGGAGGGTCTGAAGACCTTTAGTCGAGACTTCAGACTGCCTAAGAACCTTCCGCAGTATAACTATCATTGTATATGGACTTGGTGAATTACAATTCGGCTTCACTGCAATCTAGGGGGAACCATATCTGGGTGACATCTCTCGAACTTGAATCACAACTTTAATGCTTTGTGTTTGCTTAGATTAGTTACAACTTCAATACGTTCAAACCGCTAGATAACGAGAACTTCACGAAAAGGTCATCACATCTAGGACCCGAGTTGACAAATAAAGCTAGACCCGCTATACTATGCATTAGTTTATGGTTACACTTGACGACTTTCTAGTGTGACGGTATTGGCGAGTCACTTAATGGGCTGGTTCTGCTCATTGTATGGTTCGTGTTGTTAGCTTAATAGGCGGGCCAGCTTAGCACCCTCGTTTGTCACGTAAGCAAAAGTGTTACGCCGTCGACAGAATATAACGAACCCAAACGAATATAACGAACCCAGACGACGAGTGATCAAGGATGACAAACGTAAAGTATCAGTGGCTAAATTGAAGAAAAAATAATTCGAGTGGCTAAAGTGTTACCAACAGGTAATATGAGTGGCCAAATTTGCAGTTGAATTGCTTCGAGTGGCTAAAGTGTAACACTAGAAAGTATTTACCCAAACAATTATTAACCTTTTGAACAATAGAGAGCCCAGCAGTGACCGCCCCCAACTGGAACTCAACAACCTAAAACCCAGACGTCTGAAGCCCTTGTGAGGTATCATCAACGGCTTCGAATCAACCTTCGGATATCGCATCCGACAGAAAGAAAGACCGCCAACGCCGGTAGAGATTCACACTGAGCTGATCCGTGAGAGAGCTACGGTGGGAAGGAGCTTCAAATTTCAAGCTTCAATATTAGCAGACGGCACCTTTCGTTTTTTTTTTTGCAGGCTTCGTGCTCGGTGAATTGCTTGAATGGAGGTAGCTACCTCTCTAGGCTTGAAATGCCACTCCTGGTTCCATGTCCCCCCTCACCGTTTCCCCTCTTCTTCTTCTTCTTCTCACAAACCCACATCTGATTCCACCCTCTCATTCGCATCCACGAGACAGCATCATGCCTCACTTACTACCGCACAATCTCCACTCCCCACCTCGCTCTTGCTCTCTTCCGACTTCACCACTCCCCAGCTGCTCGAAACCCTCCGCCAACAGCCGAACGAGTCCGCGGCGCTTCGGGTGTTCGAATGGGCTTCAAAGCAGCCAAATTTCGAGCCGAAGGCGTCCCTGTACGAGGAGATTCTCCGCAAGCTCGGCAAAGTCGGGTCCTTCGATTCGATGAAGGACATCTTGGAAGAAATGAAGAACTCGGGGTGTCGGGCCAGCAAAGGTATATGCTTAGTCTTTGTTCAGAGCTACGCCGATTTCGATTTGTATGATGAAATCCCTGAATTACTCGAGTCGATGGAGGTTGAGTTTGGGTTTCAACCCGACACCCATTTCTTCAATTTCGTACTGAATGTTATGGTGGATGGTAACAAGCTGAAATTGGTGGAAATGGTGCACTCTAATTTGATGAGGAGAGGAATCAAACCCGACGTTTCGACATTCAACATACTTATCAAAGCCTTGTGCAAAGCACATCAAATTCGGCCTGCTAGTTTGATGATGGAGGAGATGCCCAGCTACGGTCTGCTTCCAGATGAGAAAACTTTCACCACAATCATGCAAGGGTTCATCGAAGAAGGAAACTTGGATGGTGCACTGAGAGTGCAGAAGCAAATGGTGGAAGCTGGATGCCCCATGACCAATGTAACCGTAAATGTGCTGGTTCATGGTTACTGCAAACATGGTAGAATTGCAGAAGCTCTGGGCTATATAGAGGAGGTCTCTAACAATGGATTCTTCCCGGATAAGTACACTTTCAACACTCTGGTGAACGGACTGTGTAAAGTTGGTCAGGTTAAGCATGGTTTGGAAGTCATGGATATGATGCTTCAAGAAGGCTTCGATCCAGATATTTATACTTACAACTCTCTTATATCCGGGCTGTGTAAAGCCGGTGAAGTTGAGGAAGCAGTGGAGATTCTGGAAGAGATGATTTCAAGGGATTGCTCTCCCAACACTGTGACTTACAACACTTTGATAAGTACCTTGTGTAAGGACAACCAAGTGGAGGAAGCTACTAAACTTGCCCGTGTTCTCACTAGCAAGGGACTTGCTCCTGATGTATGCACATTCAATTCCCTCATACAAGGTCTGTGCTTGACCAGAAACCATTCCCTCACCATGGAATTGTATCACGAGATGAAGAACCAAGGGTGCCAGCCGGATGAGTTTACCTACAACATGTTGATAGATAGCCTTTGCTACAGAGGGAAGCTGGACGATGCTTTGAACCTGCTTAAAGAGATGGAATCGAGTGGCTGTGCGAGAAGCGTGATCACTTACAACACTTTAATTTCTGGGTTCTGCAAAAACAGGAAGATCGAAGAAGCAGAAGAGATCTTTGACCAAATGGAACTCCAAGGGGTATCGAGAAATTCTGTAACATTCAACGCACTCATTGATGGCTTGTGCAAGAACAGGAGAGTGGAAGAGGCTGCTGAACTAATGGATCAAATGATAATGGAAGGGCTGAAGCCGGACAAGTTCACTTACAACTCAATGCTCACTTACTTCTGTAAGGGAGGGGATATTCAGAAGGCTGCTGACATAGTCCAAGCCATGGCCTCAAATGGTTGTGACCCGGATATCGTAACTTACGGGACATTGATTGGCGGGCTGTGCAAGGCGGGACGAGTGCAGGTGGCGAGCAAGCTTCTGAGGTCCATTCAATTGAAAGGCGTAGTCTTGTCGCCTCATGCCTACAACCCCATACTGCAAGCACTGTTTAAGAAGAAGAGAAACACAGAAGCTATGAGATTGTTCAGAGAAATGATGGAGAGTGCTGTTGTTGATCCTCCTGACCAAGTCACCTACAAGATTGTGTTCCGTGGGCTGTGCAGTAGTGGCGGGCCAATACAGGAAGCGGTGGACTTCGTGGTGGAGATGGCGGAGAGAGGATACTTGCCTGAATTTTCGTCTTTCTATATGCTGGCGGAGGGGCTCTGTGAACTGTCGATGGAGGATACGCTGATGAAGCTTGTTGATCTCATCATGGAGAAAGCGAATTTCTCGGCCAATGAAGTGAGCATGATCAGAGGTTTCCTTAAGATTCGGAAGTTTCAAGATGGGTTGGCGACTCTTGGAGGTATACTCGATATCAAAATGCCCAAGAAACCGGCGTATAGACGATGATGGAACCAGGAGTGTGATGCTTCATGCTTGTAAGCTAAGAAATCAGTTTTTTTTACTACATTTCCTCTTGAGTATATGAGTATATGAATGTTAAATATTGGTTGGAGTTATGAAAAGAAATTATTACCCATGGATAACCGTGGATACTTGAAACCTGAACGAGTATAGGCATGGTTTTTGATTTTCTACCCGTTTCTAATGTGGGTATGCTTCTAATGTGGGTATGCGTATGGGTAAAACTCGAATTACTTTTGGTAGGGTAACATATATGCACTAGCCGCCCCCGACCCGACCAGACCCGACCCATTGCCATCCCTACCAGCACGTTACCTCTGAAGGATTCAACTCTCGAACTGAGTTCAACGAGAGCCACATAATCGAACTAGCACGCTAGCCTACAAGCTGAGTAGAGTCGTGCTCAATCTTGGCTCACTTACTAACAAGTCTAGTCCCGGACGATATTTTCTTGATTCGAATTATGAGTTGCTCGTCATGGACTCCGTTCATTTGCATCCCTAACTAAGAGGGGGTTTAGTTATAACTGTAAGAGATAGGGGACTACGTTGGTAATTTTGTAAAGAAAGTAGCTAGGAACGAGGAAGCGTCATTTGGATGTAATTGGCGGGATAGGTAAAAGATGTCAATCAAAATCCCTAGCCTATTCCTATTCTTCTTGGTTCTCTGCCGCCTTCCTTTCCCTTCAATTCTCGTTCCCCTCTCTTGCTCTGGTCAGCCAGTTCCATTCCCACTGACTCGCCGGAGACTTAACGAGTGAAGTCCGGCCATCTGATTAGTCAATTAGATGCACAGAGATATTAATTATTCCGGCCACCGGTGGAGTTATGTCAACAACATACCGGCAATTGAGTTCCACGGGCAGCAAGATCATCCATTTCCTAAGCCGTTGCTCTTCCGCCAGTCACCTTCACCAAATAGAAGCGCAGTTCATCCTCCGGAGCCTCCATGCCGATACCAAAATCGCTTACCACTACATCAACGCCGCGGAACGCCTCTCCGTCCTCCATCCATCTCTGCCGCTCTTCTTAATCCATCTCCCCAAGCCCCATGTCTTCACTTACAACACTCTCGTCAAGGCCTTCTCGCACTCCAAGGACCCTGGCCTCCCGCTTTCCTTGTACACCCATATGCTGCAGTGTTCTCTACTCCCCAATAACTACACTTTCCCTTTCCTTCTCAAGTCCTTGTCCGACTTCCGACGCTTCAAGCAAGGTCAGTGTGTGCATTCTCACCTAGTGAAATGGGGCCATCTGGGAGATATTTATGTCCTGAACTCGCTGCTTAATTTGTATGCCTCCTGCGGGAGCATGGACATGTGTCGCAAAGTGTTCGATAAAATGTCCGACAGAGATGTGGTGTCCTGGACTGTGTTGATTAAGGGTTACGGAAAATCTGGCAAGTTCGACGATGCGTTGATTGCTTTTGAGATGATGCCATATGATGGCGTGGTGCCCAATCACGTCACCATGGTGAACGCGTTGGCTGCTTGTGCTGGTTCCGGGGCCATTGAAATGGGAATCCGGATACATGATTTTATCACCGCGAGTGGGTGGGAGTTGGATGTGATTTTGGGGACTTCTCTGGTCGACATGTATCTGAAATGCGGGAGAATTGAGGAGGGAACAAGCGTGTTCAGAAACATGAAAGAAAGGAACCTGTTTACTTGGAATGTGTTGATCAAAGGGTTGGGCTTAGCTAAATGTGGACAAGAAGCTATTTGGTGGTTTAACAACATGGAGCAAGAAGGATTGGGGATTGATGAGATCACTTTGGTGAATGTGCTTACTGCCTGTAGCCATTCGGGTTTCGTTGACGTTGGAAAGCAGATTTTCAATTCCCTGCTTCATGGGAAGTATGGATTTCCCCCAGGGCTAAAGCATTATGCTTGCGTTGTCGACCTCCTAGCTCGTGCAGGGTGCTTGTATGAGGCTTTAGAATACATCAGAGAGATGCCCTTTGAGCCAACGAAGTCCATGTGGGGGTCTTTGCTGAATGCTTGTAAAGATCATGGGAATTTAGAACTTACCAAGTTCATAGCTGAAAAGCTTGTGGAATTGGAGCCTGAAAACAGTGCTTACTATGTGGTTCTGGCTAACGCATATGCAGAGATGGGAAGATGGAACGATGCTGCTGAAATCAGGAATATAATGAAAGAAAAGGGACTCAAGAAGGAGTTAGGCAGCAGCTTGGTCGAATCAAATGCTGGCGCACAGGTTGTGTGCTCTGCTGATGGAGGATACTGGGGGTGTTCATACGGATAGCAGTAGAAGACCAAAGTTCTTGAGAAGCACCTCGAGGAATCTTCCAGTACCAAACCCATAGGTTCTGAAAGATGTGGGCTGGTTCCATTCCTTTCCCTCATTCCCTGGGGTTTATGTTCTGTGAAATCTCCGATCTATGCTTGCTGCGGTCCCACGTTCACAGCCGCACTCAGGTTTTTGTTTGTTCTGCTGGGTTGGGGAAGATCAGTTAATATGGATACTTGGTTTATTTTGGCGAGTATCAAAAGGAAATTAGGTTTAGGTGGCCTGGTTATAAACTTTGATAACTGCTGCAGTGATCCATTATTTATACATACTAGTTTTTACCCGAAGCATTGGTGGGATGAATTCAATCTTATTTGTCCACCGCTTCATTCATGATAATTAATTTATTTATATTTTCAAATGATTTGGGGCATACTCAATAGTTTATAAAGAGTCGGAAGTAATCTTTGTACTATTTGATAATGGTGATATTGATAATAATTAGTTCATATGTATTTTTGTTGATCGGGTTATCCTAAGTTACTATTGTCTATTTATATTTCATATTAGAAAAATTTGCACCACTTATTGAAAGAAGAAAACCCACTAAGGGGTCGGTACTGTGCACCCACATACACATTACTGTACATACAGACTCAGATGTACTGTTTCAATTCGGAAGTGGATCCAGTGTGGGTGGGTGCAGGGAGACTCTGGTTGGTTTCGGATTATATTTGGTGGTTTCGTTGTGTTTGGACCAGAGTTTGCCTTATGGTTGGGGGTTCCTTTCCGTCTCCTCGCACGCATTGATCACTCGGCGAACTATGAAACCTTGGGGTTAATGAAACCAGGGACTCTGTTTTGCCCTTTCAGGAATGGGAGAGGCACGTTTGGGTTTGGATGGTGCTTTGACGCAACTGCAGGAAGCTGACAGTGACAGTCAAGAGAGAAAAAGTGGAGAGTGGACTGTCCTGGGGTGGCTTAAGAAAGTGGCAAAACTCTGCCCTTTTGGTTTCTCGGTAGTACTTGAGTGGAAAACAATGATATTTTTGTGGTATAGTTGATGGATTCGAGGCAGCTCCAATTGTGGCCACTCATTTTACCTAACCTGTGTAGTTTTCCATGCTTGCTTTTTTTAATCGGTTTCCATCAACTCTCAGTCACTCACCAAAGAAGAACTATCTTAATAGGAGAGACAAGGTAAAAGGTTTTAAGTCGCTTCTTCTTTCTTTGCTATCACACCACCCCTCTTTAAATCTTTTCTCCTTCTCTCACATCTTTTTTCTATATACTGCTGTCTGCCTGTCTCTTATCTTTGCTGATTCTACTCTTTTGTTTTTCTTTTGGCAGCTAAAGCGGAGATCAAAGTGATCGTTGGCGGAGTCTTTTCGGAGAGCTAATTTCACATGCTTGCTTGAATCGATATCAGGTTATTGCGCTACCCCTTCTCTTCTCTCACAACTTCCACGCTCTTTTCATTAATGGTTTGTTCGATCTCTTCTAGGAGGAGCTACATGGTTTTGGAGTTGCCAGATCAAGACCGGGAGAACCTGGGGGGGTGACTGGATGGCTAACCCGCTCAGAAGAGTGGAACTCTTGGTTGCTTAACGGATTTGAGAAACAGAGAGCATTTGCCAGAAGAGACATCTTCACTGAATGGCTTCTTGGTACGAGTTAATAGTTCTTTCTGGTCATTTTTGTTTTCTCAATGGTCTTCCTCTTTTTAATTTGATTGATTAGTTGAACTTCTGTTTGTGAGAACAGTGGGAAATTTATCATTGAAAACAATTCCAATCTAAGGTTCAAATCATGTTTGATGCATAGCAATCCCTGGAAGTCGTGACTGAGAATCGTTAATTGGATATGTGAGAGAAAGTAGAATATGTGGTTTTGAAAAATAGTTTCTTCCGAGTTCCCCTTTGTATCTGATCTTCAATTTGCTATGGGGTTACTTTAATGGGTTTATCTTGCGTACATGAAGTTGAGCTTTTGCTAGCTTTTGGAGGTCATTGAATTGACATAATAATTTTTTTGCTTTTCTCCAGTATGGTACAATGGAGGATTAATGGCTTCTGGGTTTTGGGAGCAAGCACGAAACATTATGTCATGGCGATGTTGCTTCATTTGCCCCCCCTGCTATATTGCATTTCACCTTCCCCCCCCCCCCCCCCCCCCCCCAATTGCAATCCATCTTTTGTATTGTCATCTGGACCTTGCAATTGCAGTAGTATTGCACCCGGGTTCCTACTATGGAGTTCTTCTTAACTCTATGATTTTTTGCCACTTTGATTTAAAAACCTGTGTATGATAAAGGAAATGAAATACTTATATTAGTTGATAGCACTCATGAACAAGACCAACTACAATTTAATCAAACCAGTACCAGTCCATCAATAAACAACCCTCTACAATTTGCTTCAATCATAGAATGTGTTTCAAGCTTGAGGTGTTCCCGCAGAGTTTCTTTTCAGAATCACCGGACAAGAAGGAAAAGATGGTACATGTAATGGCTAGCAGTTCATTTCTACATTGAAGCACATTTGTATTATAGCTATAGCTTTGCCTGTAAAATATATGTATTTATTGACATTCCAGTCCAGTGTATTGGTATTAGTTAATTAATTTTTATTAATGTATTGGCAAGCAAACAACGAATGTAAACTTTCTTTTTTCACAATGATTCTCAAATCCCGCTGCGGAGCGCGGGCAATGAAACTAGTTGTATACATAAATTGCTTATAAGTATTTCTTCATATATGTATTATTAACTTTGTTCTCTATTAATTCACTTTTAAGAATGTTGTATATTGGGTAATTCGGATCCATCTACAAATGGAGATCTATTATACTTCATTTTATGAATTTTACAATTGATATTTTACATTCGGTTATGTCGCCTATGCCTAAAGGGCACTCCTTAATCTCTTGAGATAGAGATCTCTAGCATCACAGTTAGTGGTTTGCATATGGTCTCCCAAGTCACCAAGTGCGCTTTGTATCTGCCCTCGTCAGCTCCCCATACAAATGCCCTAATCTTCTTATCAATCATATCACAAATATGACATGGGAGAACAACAGTTTGCATAGTGTAATTGATAGAGCTCTAGGTTAAGCTCTACCGGACGATTTGGGATTTAGGGATCAATTAGGGATTGATCCGGGATTTGGGGGGTGGGGGGTTGAGGGAGAGTGACTTGGGTGAGGTTGGGATTGAGAAAAGGAGGGGGAAGAGCTGCTGCCGATCGGCAGCTTTGAGAGGGAGAGGGGAAGGCTCGGCGGCCAGAGGGGAAGAGAGGAGAGAGAGAGATAGTCTTAGGTTTAATTCTTTGCTTACTCTTTCCTACGTAAACAAGAGTCTAAATACCCAAAACACAATTACCTACTAACTACCCCAACTTATTAATCCCCCACAATATTCCAAATAGCCAAAATAATCCCGAACTAAATAATTCAAACCGACATAAACACCAAATAATTAAAATGTCTATCATTCCCTTCCTCTTCAAAACAACCTTGTCCTCAAGGTTGGTAACCTTCTCCTGCGTCTTCCCCGTCTCTCGCCTCGTCCTCTGCCTCGTCCTCCCACCTTCCTACCAGCATCATCAAGTCCGGACGTGCACACTTGTGACCAATCGTGAACCTCTCGTCGCAATTGAAGCACTTCCCTTCCCGCCTCTTCTGCTCGATCTCTGCAGGGGACAGTCGCACAAACCCCTTGGGTGGAGGTCGTGCCCCACCCTTCGCGATAGCTCCTGGCGCCTGCGCCGCCGTGGGTCCCCCAGCTCCAACCGCGGTCCCAGCCGCTCCTCCTCCTCCACCGCTGAGTCCGCTACCGCTCCCGGCGCCCCCTGACCGCGGATTGCGGCCCATGGTGCTCCTCCAACTCGCCAGCTCTTCTTCCTTGTACCCTGCAAGACGAAAAGCAGATTTCACGGAATCCGGCTCAAAGATCCGAACAGCAGCGGCAATCTCCGGCTTTAGGCCGGCCATGCACAACCCCACCAGCGTCTCCTCCGGTACCCCATGGCATTGATTGCCCAGTTTGAAGAACTCCGCGCGGTAATCTGCAACGGAACCGGTCTGCTTCAGCTTGGCCAACTGCTCCGGAGCCCACCCCTCCGATTTACCGAACTGGTAACGCAGCTCCTCCTGGAACAACGGCCAGGTGATCAAGGTTCCCACCGCCCCATAGGACCTCTCCATCCACTCCCACCACTGCAACGCTTCTCCCTCTAAGTAGAAGGACGCCAGATGCGCCTTCCTCTCCTCCGGAATGGGGTGGTTTCTGAACCACCTCTCTGCTGCATACAACCACAATCCGGCATCCTCCTGACCATTGAATTTTGGAAACTCAATGGTCGGGGGTTTGGCTCGAAAGACCATCCCATCAGTTCCATCATAAGCAGGGTGATACGAACCATACCTGTCATAACCGGGAGCACCCCCTAGCTGGTCCGGGTAGAACGGAGTCCCCCTTCCTCGCCCAAAACTGCTTGCGGACCCTCGCCCCATCGGACCCGCCCAATTCCCTGCACCATACGACCCGCGCCACCTGCTCGGGTCCATACTTGCCGATCTAACCAGCCCCGGTTCGAACCGGTTCGGTCCACTTTCGGTTCGACCCAATTCGGGTCCGCCCCGACCCGACCCACTTCGACCCGGACCGGTCAGCCCCGGGTCGGTCCGACCAGCCGAGCCGCCTCCTCGACCCAGCCCAGGTCCACCCGGCCCAAACCGGCCCTCCTGGCCCGGCCCAACCCGCGCGGCTTGGGCCCCTGTCACGTCCGGGCCCAAATAGTCCCCGCCACTAGCCGGGTCGGCCCATGGTGCGTTCTGGCCCACCAGACTGAGCTCCTTCTCGATCCGCTCGTGATCCATGGTCAGCCACCCCAGTCCTCTGGGCTCGTGATATGGGCCCACTGTGTCAACCCGGCCCATTGGCCTAGGTGGGCCCTGCCCAGTCGGCGGGGGCCCGTTGTCGTACCCTGGCATCTTGGCCTTGCCCTTGCGGGCCGCCAATTCCTGGGCCGTTGGTGTCGGTAAAAGCCCAGGCCCACCGCTGCGCCCTGGCTGACCCTGGCCCGCTCGCTCCCCGGCGCCGGGTACCACTTCCGCCGCCTCAACGACCGTGACAGCCGCCGCTGCGGCCGGCGCCTCCGCCACCACCATCGCCCCCTGCTGCGCGTCAACCGCCGCCGCCGCGGCGCACGCCTCCGCGCCCCCCCGCCGGCGAAGCTCCCAGCCTGCTCCCCTCGCCGCCGCCGCTGCTATCCCTCGGTCCAGTGGCGTGCGCTGCGGCCAGTGCCTCCACGACCCTCTGCACCTCATCAAACCGCTTCCAAACTCGCCGGGACTCCTCCTCCTGTCCCCGCCGCTGTTCGCCTTGTTCTTGCCTGAGAGCTCGCCATTCCTTGTGCTCTTTCTCGAACTCGGCTACCAGGCGATCCAAGGTGGTCTGGATCAGCTCCAACTTTTCAGTCTCGTCCACCAGCTCTCCGTCCCGCGGATCGGAGGCCCCCTGGTTGCCGCCGCCAGCTCCCGGCAGTCCGGTCGAGGCCGCGGTCGAGCCTTGCTCCTGCGCCGCCGCCTTGGCAGCCTTCTCCGCCGCTGTCATCGATTTGGTGGACACCATTGCACCCTTCGTTCTCTGTTTGTGATCGAACCCAAGAACCGGGCTCTGATACCAAATGATAGAGCTCTAGGTTAAGCTCTACCGGACGATTTGGGATTTAGGGATCAATTAGGGATTGATCCGGGATTGGGGGGGAGGGGTTGAGGGAGAGTGACTTGGGTGAGGTTGGGATTGAGAAAAGGAGGGGGAAGAGCTGTTGCCGATCGGCAGCTTTGAGAGGGAGAGGGGAAGGCTCGGCGGCCAGAGGGGAAGAGAGGAGAGAGAGAGATAGTCTTAGGTTTAATTCTTTGCTTACTCTTTCCTACGTAAACAAGAGTCTAAATACCCAAAACACAATTACCTACTAACTACCCCAACTTATTAATCCCCCACAATATTTCAAATAGCCAAAATAATCCCGAACTAAATAATTCAAACCGACATAAACACCAAATAATTAAAATGTCTATCAGTAATTGGGGAGAGCATTGAGTACTGAGGTCGCCAAGGTCACGCTTCCTGCCATAGATAATTTTTTGGTTTTCCAACTGGCAAGTTTTCTGTCTATATTCTCAAGAATGTATTTGTACGTTGCTTTAGTCACCCTCCCGTGGATCACCGGTACCCCTAGGTATCTCCCTAGGTTGTTGGTGCGAGGGATACCCAGAAGGTGGCTGATCCTATCCTTCGTTCTATCTTTTGTATTCTTCGAGAAGTAGACACATGACTTGTCCTTGTTGATCTTTTCTCATGAAGCTCTGCAAAAGGAATCAAGGCAGTCCATGATGATTTTCCCTTGCTTCGGATTAGCCTCAGAAAAGAGAACCAGGTCATCTGCAAAAAAGAGATGGGTAAGTAGAGGACCATTTCTAGAGAGAAATCGGTTTCCAATCTCCCTTACTCACAGAGTCTTTGATGCAATGATTTAAACGTTCAATACACAAAGTAAAAAGGTAAGGAGAGAGAAGACATCCCTGCCGAAGTCCACGGGACGGTCGGAATTCATCTATGCAACTTCTGTTCCAAAGGATCTGGAACCTGGTCGTAGTAACGCAAGCCATGACAAGGGATATGAAGTCAGTTGGTAGCCCTATTGCCGTAAGGGTGCCTTCAAGGAAGCTCCAACTGATTCTGTCGTATGCTTTAGCAAGATCAATCTTTAGGACCATGATCCCCTTGTCACCTTTTTTCAATGCCATGGTATGAATGACTTCCTGGAGAATTATCACGTTATCTGTAATGAGTCCAGTCTTCACGGTTTGGGCGTCTACTTCATGGTTGTTGCCCTTGATAATCCCTGTATGACCGTGATCATTGCACTGTTGCCCATTTTGCTCCCTTTTTATCCTCTTTTATTCAACTTTCGATCTCGTTGCCAATTCCACCTGCTAAGGTCCGAAACATGTCAAAACAAGACCAAACCTAGCGTAAAATAGCTCCAAGAACGGTGCAAACCAATGTGTGTAATCTATCCCAAATTATTGGGTCTAGTCGCTTATATATTGTAATGGCAAAAAAATTCCGAAGAATGAACATATCAATAAATAACAAAATTTTCCGACACCACATCTCGTTTGTGAGTTACAAGCAAACTCTTGAACTGTGAGTTACTATTCATCACATCACAACCCCAATGATTCACTAATCAATTCAGGGTGCCTTGTATTTTGGTTTCTTGCGTGATATGTTCTGGTCACGTGGGTTCAGACCTTGGTTAAAATTCTTGCGTCTAATCAATGGTGTTTGAAACATCTCACAGCTTGATTTAAAACACCCGCTAAACGACGTAATTTTAAGTGTTGAACCAATTTGAATTTTCATATCTAACTAGCAATGAATTTATTTCAAGTTGAAACTTAATCCAAAGTCGGGGTGCTACATTCTTTCTCTCCTCTCTTAATTGAGACTGACTACCAGACTATGATCCAGAAGTTAAATCATATGAAAACCACAAATTTGGAGACAACTTTAGAACTCTTTTA